TCTCCTCCAATCCAGGGAATCTCCTCCCAATCCAGGGGCACCCTCGGGGACCTCCTCCACTCCTGGCTGGGATCTCCTCCACTCCAAGGGGGGATCTCCTACTCTGGGGTGATCTCCTCCACTCTGGGGGGATCTCCCTCCACTCCTGGGGGTGATCTCCTCCACTCCTTGGGGATCTCCTCCCACTCCGGGGCAACTCCTAGGATCTTCCCTAAACACTCGCCAGGGGGGGATCTCCTCCAACTCCTGGGGGAGGAGATCTATTTCCCTTAATGTTCCGAAAAGGAGCTACCAGGTTTTGCGCAAAACCTGACGAAAATTGTCCCAGAGGAAACTTCAAAGTGAGCAACCCAGACAACTTGTCAAAAAAGCGTCCGCGCAATTCCGACCTACCTCCGCTTAATGCAGAAAACGGCAACACCGAACATCGATACCTGAAGGTAGGATCCCCCTTGTGACTTATGAATGCAAGTTTTTTAGATTAGCACTGAAAAAAGTTTAGCGTTTGAAGTTGTATAATAAAGTTTGAGTTTTGTTAAGACTTTACAAATTAACTTATTTAATACCACTACACGAAGGACACTACATGAAGGACGGGGAGGAACACTACACTACATGAAGGGACACTACATGAAGACACTACCACTACATGAAGGACACTACATGAAATGGACACTACATGAAGTACAGGAGGACGACTACACTACATGAAGACACACATGAAGACACTCACAGGAGGACAACTACACTACAAATGAGGACACACATAAGGAAACTACATGTAGTGGTCCTCTCATGTAGGTGTAGTGCTCCTTCATCCTCAGTGCCTCCATGTAGTGTCTTCTCATGTAGTGAGTGTCTTTCCCTGTCCCTTCATTAGGGTGTCCTTCATGTATAGTGTCCTTCATGTTTAGGTGTAGGTGTCCTTCACGTAGTGTCTGTCAATGTAAGTGTAGTGGCTCCCTTCCCGGTCCCTCATGTAAGTGTCCTTCGTGTAAGTGTGTATAAATAGTTTAAATTGTAAAAAGTCTTAACAAAACTCAAAACTCATATTATCAACTTCAAACGCTAAAACTTTTTTCGATGCTTAATTCTAAAACTGCATCAAAGTTCACAAGGGGATCCTACCTCAGATCGATGTCGGTGTTGCCGTTCTGCATTAGCGGAGGTAGTTCCGGAATTGCGCGGACGATTTTGTTTTGACAAGGGTTGTCTGGTGCCGTCACTTTTGAAGTTACTCTGGGACAAATTTTCCGGTCAGGGTTTGCCAAAACCACTTAGCTCCTCTTCTCGGGAACATTAGGGAACATAGATCTCCTCCCCAGGAGGGAGAGAGTCCCCCCTGGATGCTAGGAGGAATCCTAAGGAGCTGCCCCGGAAGGGAGGAGATCCCCCAAGGCAGTGGAGGAGATCACCCCAGGAGTGGAGGAGATCCCCAGGAGTGGAGGGAGATCACCCAGGGAGTAGAGAGATCACCCTGGGATGGAGGAGATCCCCCCCAGGAGTGGAGGAGATCCCCCGAGGAGTGCCCCTGGGATTGGAGGAGATTCCCCTGGATTGGAGGAGATCTCCGCTAGAATCGGAAAAAGTTGTCACCGGGGGTCTGACACCTTTGCGACGACGGTGGAAAAACGAACGCGTGGAAATTGAGACACCTCGGAAAATTTCGTCGACTTTTGGAACAAAACAAATCCTGTCTGAAAATCAAAATTTCCACCTTCCCAGAAAAACTGGTAAACAAAATACAAACTACAACACAAAGAAGCCTTTCAAGCAGTGGCCCCCAGACTGTGGAACGCGCTGCCACTTTGCTTGCGCACTTTAAACTCTGTGGAGCCTTTTAAAAAGCAGCTGAAAACCTTGTTGTTTAGACAGACTTTTAGTAAAGGTGAAGGTTCTTTTTGACAGTTTGTTTTATGTTTTGATGTTGTGTTTTGATGTGTATATGTAGCTGTGTGTTCCTTGTTTTACACCATGTATTCTCCTTTTTATCGTGATCTCACTGTGAAGCACTTTGTGAATCCTTTCTGTGAAAAGTGCTATATAAATAAACTTTACTTACTTACTTACTTACTCTAGGGGGGTCCGGGGGCATTCTCCCCCGGGAAGATTTTATTTTAAATGTTGAAGTGAAAAGCATCAATCTGGTGCACTTTGAGCACAAAATGAATTAATGGATACAGCTCTCAACACTCTTAATTAAGAGTGATTAAATTGATTAAATTATTATTATTTATGTATTTTTTGTACCTGGCTTGCGCCCCGTAGCACACTGGTATTACCTTAGAGGTCTGGGCGTAGTACAGGGTCCTTCCTCGCAGCTATAGATGTGTATATGTGTGTGTGTATATACAGTATATATATTAGTATATACCTTGGGGGTCTGGGCGTAGTACAGGGTCCTTCCTCGTAGCTTGAAGTAGCGCCTCTTGCAGCGCTGGAAGGAGCTGCTCTGCTTCTGGAGGAAACCCTCCTTCAGCACCGTCTGCAACAGGAAGTGGGAGTTTGTTGTTTTTTGTTGTTTGGGAGGGGAACTGTGTGAGCGATAGCACGGGAAACACTTACTGTTGTTGTTTTAGTTGTTTACAGGATCAATAAGTTAATGTTACTCGACGTGTACTTTAGGTTGTCACTTGAATACATGTTATTGTATATCTTAACTATCAGTTTATTATATGGACAGGAAGATGCAGGTCTTTGAACGCTCAAACATCTGCTGCTGCGTTCAGGGACCGTGGGACCGTTTGTCTTTTCCTTTAGTTTAATGAGTGTTATTTCCATCTTCATGTTTGCTGTTGTTATTATTTACTTTGATCTTAATGTCTTTAAAGTAGATTAATCCGTTTATACAGAAAGTAAGAGACCCTTCACCTGAAACACAATGGCTTCAAAGCAGCGACACAGGTTTCTCCGATCTTCTGTTGTGCACCTGAAGGCAGCACACCGTAAAGTTTAACGAAACGGTAAAAATAAAAACGAGCCGTTAGTTTACCGGAGCTGTGACGTCATTTCACTACCGACAGACAATCTTAACTAACGAATATTTAATCTGAAATATAAACTGGATTTACTTTATTTACTGTATATACTTTATGTGTTTCTTATAAGCAACATTATAGGCTATGGTGTGAATAAACGATCTTTAATAAATAATGGGAAAACAGGAACGTTAAGTCTCAGCTAACAGACCGTTACAATAACAACAACAATAACAATAATAACAACACATTACATTTATGAAGCGCTTTCTACGTACTCAAAGCTTTAGGAAAGTTCAAACAACATGGATGAAGTCAATTAGATTAAAATACAGAAAGCTCCGCCCCCACCCTGGGCTGTGGTCCTCCTCTCCCAGGGCTGCAGCCCTCCTCTCCGGGGGAACAGAGCAGGAAACACCGAGGCATCACTGGGCCTCCCAACCGCAGCTAGCCGCGGTTAGCCTAGCCTAACTGTTGATTACAGACCTTTAACGTGAAGCTGTTTCTAGTCTGTTTAAACCGGGACATCTACCGGATATATAGGGTTATATAAACTGTATTTATGTTATAGTTTATATTTAAAGTATATAGCTAACGTGTTGCTGTAGTTCCTCTCTCCAGACTTCATTTAAGATCCACTAAACTCAGATAAACTCAGCAGAGAATATGAACAACACAAAGTTTAATATAAAGTTTAACCCCTTTTCTAATCTGCAGATCGCCTGGATCCAAACCCACCGAGAAGAGCAAGCTAAATAAAGAGTTCAGAGGAGGGGGGAAAGGGATTTAAATTGAGGATTAACTGATTGGTGATTGATTGGTGATACACTGGTGATACACTGAGGATACACTGGTGATACACTGACGATACACTGATGATACACTGAGGATACACTGATGATACACTGAGGATACACTGAGGACACACTGAGGATACACTGGTGATAAACTGGTGATACACTGAGGACACACTGAGGATACACTGAGGATAAACTGAGGATACACTGGTGATAAACTGAAGACACACTGAGGATACACTGGTGATAAACTGAGGATACACTGAGGATACACTGAGGATACACTGAGGATAAACTGAGGACACACTGAGGATACACTGAGGATAAACTGAGGATACACTGAGGACACACTGAGGATACACTGATGATAAACTGAGGATACACTGGTGATAAACTGAAGACACACTGGGGATACACTGGTGATAAACTGAGGATACACTGAGGATACACTGAGGATACACTGGTGATAAACTGAGGACACACTGAGGATACACTGAGGATACACTGGTGATACACTGAGGATACACTGAGGACACACTGAGGATACACTGAGGATACACTGGTGATACACTGAGGATACACTGGTGATACACTGAGGACACACTGAGGATACACTGAGGATACACTAGAGGAGTTTACTATAGACTATACTAGAGAAGTTGGAACGACAGAACGAGTTAAGGGGACTGAGGGACAGCCTCTGACCGGGTAACAGACCTCCTCCCCCCGCTGACTCTGACCGGGGAACAGCCCTCCTCCCCCCGCTGCCTCTGACAGGGGAACAGCCCTCCTCCCCCCGCTGCCTCTGACCGGGAAACAGCCCTCCTCCCCCCGCTGCAGAACAGCCTCTGTCCGGTAACCCCCTCCCCCGCCCCGTACCTTGCTGCGGATCTGTCCGGACGTGGACACTTTCCGGATGAGTTTCTGCGGGGATCCGGGCTCCTGCTCCGGCTCGCTGTCTGAAGAATCCTCCGGACAGCGGGGCTCTGAGCCCTCTGCAGCCGCCATCCTGCCTCCAAACCCGGGGAGGAGGGGCAGCAGCAGCGCCGCCCAGAGGCCGGAGGCCCCCTGGCGGCGGAGCGCGGTACTGCACCCACAGACCAGAATGGGTTTATTACCTGTGGGTGTATTAGCTGTGGGTTTATTACCTGTGGGTGTATTACCTGTAGGTTTACAGGTGTATTACCTGGGTTTATTACCTGTGGGTTTATTACCTGTAGGCTTACAGGTGTATTACCTGGGTTTATTACCTTGGGTGTATTACCTGTAGGTGTACAGGTGTATTACCTGTAGGTTTACAGCGGGGTCGGGAGACAGGAGTCCTCACTGTGGAGGTGGTGGGAGACAGGATCTCACTGTGGAGGTAGTGGGAGACAGGAGTCCTCACTGCGGAGGTGGTGGGAGACAGGAGTCCTCTGGACACTGTGGAGGTGGTGGGAGACAGGAGAATGGCAGCCAAGCTGTCCTCCTGCTGGACAATGTGTCCCACCCCTCCAGGGCACCCTGTCCTCACTGTGCAGCTCCTTCAGCGATGGGCTGCTGCACTCCCGCTGTCTCACGGAGAGATACCGCAGGTCTTTCCTTCCTGCAGCGGTCAGACTATACAACCAGCACAGCCCCTNTGTGTGCCTTGGCAGTCTAAACACACGGGAACAAACAGGTATAAGCTCTTGCCGACCAGCAGACAAGAAACAGAAAAAATCTGTGTAAAATACATAGGCCTATAGTGTGCATAGGTGTGTTTGACTTGGCATAATTGCTTCTAAACCAAGGGTGATATAGTCAGTGTGTTACAGGTTGACTGAAATGAAGGCTGTGAAGACACCATTATAGTGTCTTGACGAGGACAGGGACTATATCATCAGGTAATAAAACGAGTAACATTTCTCTTTCCGAGCCTTCAAATGAATCCTGAAGATGGCTCTTATCACAGTCAGGTGTTGCAGACTCGGGCGGCAGATGAGACTCCTCTGTTCATTCAGACTAAATGTGTTTTTGTTTTCTCCAGCAAGATTTCATCTGTTGCATGTGCTATCTGATTTACTGCCAGCATGGTAAACACAGTAATTTACCTAACAGACAGATTTAATACATTCCCATTATTAAGCTTGCCAGCAGTCCTGGGACTGGAGATGAAAACATTGACGGTGTGCATTACATTGATAGGCTTACTGCTTATGATCTTTGTGTGTGCTCTTCAGAACGTGAGATAATCAAATCAAATCAAATCAAGTTTTATTTATATAGCACATTTATAAACGATTTTTGGTCGAGCCAATGTGCTGTACAAATAATAAAAATAGCCTACAGTAGAGACATTTTACAGCAAATACAACAGCACAGATTGTTCAGAATATCAGTATGAGAAAAACGACACCCTCTATCCTTAGACCCTCACATCGTACAAGGAAAAACTTCCGGAGAAAACCCACAGTTTAAAGGGAAAAAACGGGAGAAACCTCAGGGAGAGCAACAGAGGAGGGGTCCCTCTCCCAGGACGGACAGACGTGCAATAGATGCCGTGTGTAAATCGAAGAGATAATACATTTTACAGCATAGGTAGTCCAAATGTTAGGAAATGCATAATCCGTCGTAGAAATGCCATTTCAACATGTGCTGCCAGTGAACGGAAGTGTGTTAGTACATCTAAATGCTCAAATGTAATGTTAGTATTTATATGAAGCTGTATAATAATAATGGAAATACAACATTAAATGTATTTTATTTATTTCATTACGTTAATTGGAGCTACAAACATTTGATCATAAAACACCTCGGTTTCGTATGTTCCACTGTTAGTTGAGCAACACTAGCAGCTTGGCTCTACACTGCTTTGGTCCATACTAATATATCGTAACTAGAGTTAGAAATATTGGAAACTTTGCACAATATTCATGTTCCCCTGAGGATGAATCCTAAGGACTTGATTATCTGACCTTTCATCAAGCACCAACATGTGCTACAATTTTTGTTTATCAATGGAAATACAAAGATCGAAATTCCCACCAGCATCAGTTGTACTTTGTACTTACTCTTACTATAATTATCAAGTGACTCATTCCAACATGCAAAACTAAGCTGAAGGACAGTATAAACATGCTGATCATCAACATTTTCATTGTAATGAAATGCATGATGACATTAGAATTTAGCATTTAGTTCAGCCTCAAAGAGCTATTAGTATCTGGACCTGTTAGTAATGTTTCCCAGTTACAGTTTTCCTTGCACTCTACATGGTCCAAAGAGGAACATCTTTTTATTTACAATACATTTTTTGTCATGAGCTAAAAGTTTTGTTTATTTTCTCCTTTTTATATGTTTTCGTATTGCTCTGGTTTAAGGGTAGATTTAATCTGAGGTGACTACAAGTATTCACATAATCTTGACTGCATTTGAGTAACTGCAAGAGTATTTTATTTTTCCATTGGCTGTGATTCAGAAGTAACTACACCAACATGTTCACCACCTCCAACAGTCATTTAGAAAACTAAAATACCTATTTATAAGAAGACTCTCTCATAAAAACTGTTTTGTCAAAAGCTTGTTGTTTTTCTTTGTTTATTTGCACTTTTGATCAACTTCTTTTTTTAGATGAGTACAGCTGCAGAGGAGGAAATGATTGCCATAACTATACCAGGAAGCTCTTTCAGCCACTCAGCGACTCATTGACAGTCAGTGCATGTTACTCAGCATCAAAGGTTTGACGCACACATGGATGACGTCAAATAATACACATTTCTCTGAAAAATCAACAGGCACCAACTGATAAGGGAGAAACTCATCCGCTATGCAGAGAGGGCAAACACAGAGGAGATTTTCACTTAAGCTCTAAAGTATCATCATCTGTTTTGTGAATTTTAGTTTAAACTGGTTATACAATGGGGATTTAAACAAATGAGAGGCATATTCCTTGCATCTGTTTTATTATTTGGAGAATGCCTCCTTTTTTAGGGGGTTTGGAGTTGTGCATCAAACAATATGTTTCTCTCTTTCCTCTACATCCTTACATGATGGTCGTGGTTTGGATAATGTCTAATGCAAAAATAAAATAATAATGTTTTCCCCATTCACATTTTCAGAGAGCTACACTCCATTTATGATTGAGCATGTTTTGGCTAATTCACCCTTACAAATGAAATATCTCCTCTCCCTGAAACTTTATCAAAGCTTTATCAATGAGTCACATTTGTGTACACATTTAAAATGGACTGTATGAAAATAAAAGCTCAATATTTGCAGACTTTAACTTTTTCAGCTTTCCCAATATTTCACGCTCATGTACTTAAAATTGCAGTTACCAAACAAATCTTTTTTTACGACTGATTTTTCTGGAGCGATAAGTAAAAAAAAAATCTTAAATTACATTCAATACCCAGGACTTTCAAATGAGAGGTGGATAGATGCTATGCAAGGATGAAATTCTAGCCCCGGAGATATTTCTGTGCAACGGAGAGAAGCAGAGGCACTATGTCAAACAGTCATTGTGTAACAGGGTCAATATGTGCCTCTCAAATTACCCAAAGTTTTTATTTTTTTTAATTTGGAGCACCACATTGCTATATTTGCGTTCACACACTGCGTTTAAGAATGCAACACGTTTCTCTGCCAATATCTAAGATAAGATGTTTTATTTGACTGAACTTATGAATAAACTCCCACAGTTGTCTTGTTGCTTTTCTCACCTTCTGTTTTACTCTTTCTAGCACAAAGGGACCACACACATGCTGTCTCCTTTTTTTTAATCAAAAACAACAAATATTGTCTTGGTGTCGTCACTTTAATTTGAACCATATGTTCCAACAGTGTGAGGATTATACATCAAGCTATTTGAACATTGAATACGATTGGGGGTCTGTGGCTGTGAGGTAGTGTGGTAGCCTTTTAATCCGAAGGTTGTGAGTTCAATCCCAGCTCTTGCAGTCAACATACTTAACAAGATACATATGAATACATTGCTGTGTGAGTTTTTGTGAATGTTAACTTACTTGAGCAAAATGGCACATTGCTCTGGGGTATGAATGAATGAGTGATGACTTGTAGAATGTAAAGCGCTTTGAGAGGTGGAAACGACTGGACTGGGCTATGTGAATACAGTCCACCTACCACATTTGACCTCTCCATTGATATGTGCAATGCATGATTGTGTACAAGCAGGCCACTTATAGTACTTTCCCCTTCAGTTTCTACACTTCTCTCTGCACACAGGAGAAGCTCTTCCTCATTCGAGTCAACAGGGAGTACACCATGATTTGTTGGCACAAAGAAGATACATCTCAGACACCACTTTAATAACTTTCAACCTGCCGGGTTGGTTTTGTCTGTGCTGACATCGCCTCGTTATCAGTTTGACAGACTGTCAGGCCAGACATCAAGTTTCACGCAATTGCCCATCAAAACACAACGCTATCTCCCATAAACATCATGCATCAACCCTCACTGGTAGAATTAGAGTGTTGCCGCCCACACAAACATTCATATACAAGCACACATGTACAGACAGATAAAATCAATGGTTGCCTTCCTCCACATCAGGAAGAGCTGCACAGTATCAGGGCCAATGGAGGAGTCAACCCACTCACAGGATATTCAATTGCAAGCATGTACAAATTCAACCTCTCTCTATCTCACTCATGTCCGCCTGGGATCAACTGCATTTACACATGTACCTTTGGGCAAGTACTGCTGGTGTGTGCACACCCACACACAGACCAACATAGAATCACACTCTGTGGCACATAAAAACATGATTTTAGCCACACAAAAATACTCTAAAAGCAGCTGGTTTTGTGAATGAACTGAGAGGAGAAAATGGCTCAGAGTGCACGTCCTTCTTTCAAAAATAAATGTGGATTAGATAACTCTTTAAAAACAAACATTAGATTTACATGCTGATAAAACCCTTGAATGGTTGTGAGCATCTGTAGCATCATGGAGATAAACAGGGAATATTTCACAGCTAATGGAGCAAGTCTGGAACATTTTAGGGAATAAATAAATGGATCTGGTATACTGTACGCCTACTTAAACATGCCATTCCTGGCAATTTAGTAATATATGTTGAATTTGCTGTGACTGGGACTGTCTGGTGCTTCCAAATCCCTTTAAAATGAGACAGAATCAGATAAGAGGCATGCAATTGACTGTGCAGCTGGGGGAGGGGAAGTGAGAATATTAACCCAAGAGTCTCAGTCCATCCCTTCTTCCTCAGTGTTAGACATCACCAAGAGAAATCCACTCAATACGACAGCGAGAAACACATATATCAAACACAGAGAGCTGTCAGTTGTCCTCAGGGGGGATCCAGCCGTGGCAGCAGAAAAGCTGTGTGTCTTGGGGCCATATACTGTAGAAATATATATATATTTACAGTCTGTCTGTGTGTGTGTGTGTGTGTGTGTGTGTGTGTGTGTGTGTGTGTGTGTGTGTGTGTGTGTGTGTGCGTGCGTGCGTGCGTGCGTGTGTGTGTGTTGTACTTTTTTTAGTAAAGTATAGTTTCCTCCCATGGCACACTAGCAGCTTACATACAGTAACATAAGAGCTTTGTAAGGAGATGTCAACATAAAATATGAATTACACTACCAGAATTTTCTTTTAATCTAACATTCTTTTCTGTATATTAAGACGAAGAAAAAAAATTATTTAAGAAGATAATTTAACATTTATTTCCACAAAGTCTACTTCTCAAGGTCATAGGAAGAATTTACTTTTATCAAGGTTTAAAATCCTTTTCAACCCTTCATAGAAATGGGTGACACTAAGGCCTGTAAGATGGCTCTTGATTGTGTTATGGGGGAACAATGAAATAATATGTGGCATTATAGGCCATGGGGACGCAGGAAAGTGTGGGACTGCACCCTGGAAGAGTGTGTTGTTTAATGGACTGCCTGTCACACAGAAGAGTACCTTTGAAACAGATGGTTACCTGAGTGGGAAAGGTCAGTGACAATCTTTTCTTGCCCTTTTCTTTGCCCTTGCGTCATGCAGGTTTTTTTTAAAGGAGAGAATTTGACAGCTACCACTCAGGATTGCAAACAAAACACTTAAGCTTGTCATTGGAGCAGGAGGTAGAGAAAAAGCATGACACTGATGGTCTGCGATCGTGGAAATTGGACCATGATTGGTTGTAAGACGTCAGTCTCCCTAGGCTGTGACAGCGTGCACAACTTATGTGGGACCATAATAGTGATCTATTGTTGACTGACTCATTGTTATTGTTGTTGATGAAAGCTGCCAAGGTGGGCTGCCCTGCAAATTTAGAGCTTGATGGAATGGGGGGAGTCTAAAGTGGCATTTTTATTCGCTTCCCCCAGGCATCTTGCAAAGAACACAATATTTTCTTAAGCGATACTTAGATCCGTTATACAAGGTTTTTTGTGGGAAATGTTTCTTTCATACTAATAACTCCTGAGATATTTTTGATACATGTATAGAACTCACTGTTGAGGCAACACTTCACACTCACATCACAATCATTCCAATTACAGAGACAACCCTTCTGAATGCATTAAAAGCCGTGAGCTGCTGAAAGTGTCTTGCTAATTGTAATTAATAAATCCACAGAGAGAGCTAACAGGTAAGCTTCTACAAATCTTTACTGAAGTGTGGATTAGCCTTGCACCCGTGTATAATTTGCTAACAGATAGCTGTATCGATATGGTGGATTATTATTGCATCTAAAAGTCCTGATATCTACAGACAACTGCATCAGTAGCGGGTTACAGAAAGAAAATCTAACAGTTTGACTGTGTGCCTAAATACTATGCTCTATCTCTGTTATTTTTTGACTATCTTGATATACTAGTCACATGCTTTGAATAAATAGATTGCTGTAATCTAAGTGTGCAGTTAAAAATGTGGTTTTGCATTAAACAAGAGCTGCGACCATTGTTCTCATCTCATCACTTCACAGCTATGACACAGGAGGTGTGATTACAGAAACTAATAACTCCCTTAATGTACTTGTGGAATATGAGGTTGTATAAAGATGTACCTGATAAATGAACACCCTATCCTTTGTACAAAACCATTACACTCTTCCTTTCTGCCAATCCCTGAGACAAGGCCTTTAGGAGCCCCTCTTAATTGATAATTAAACTATCAAATTGGTTGCATATCCAAACTCCTGAACACACATATGCATGCGTTAAATATAAATGTATTTGTGGATTTGTGACTGATTAAATATTGCAATTCATTACTTCTTTTAGATGATTCTTTATTTACTTTTTTTGAAATATAATACCCTTCAGCTGTCTTGTAAATAGCCATTTCTATATTTGGAAGGATTATTTTAGTTGTAGCCATACTGTCAGTACTGTGTTAATATAACATACGGTATGAAGCAAATAGAAAGAGTATAGGCTACCTTTATGTATCATGCTGTAGAAATAACACATACAACTGAGATACCTAGCCTATATAAATTATATAATTTACAAAATGTAAAATGAATTGTAAATATTAAGAAACTTTACAAAATGACAATCATTCAACTAGTTATAGTTTATAAAGTAGCCTTTCATGTTGATAACAGTTGAGACTTTGCGAAACTGCTTAGTTGGATGCTGTGGGCTGTTTCCACCCTGATTGCACCAGGTGTATCTCTGATTGTTGAGCCTAAAAGCAGCTGCAGCGCTGCTTCCTGATGTAACTCCACAGCTTTGCTTATACTCTTGCGTACTTCCAAACCCTATTTTTTGCATCAGCCCTATGTTTTGGTCGCTTCAATGCCAATGTAAGGAAAAATGTATTCAACGCTCAACTTCTCCACTTTTGACGATTCCAACCTGTCGGCCCTCACAAGTGTTGACCCTCATAGACTTCAGGAGCAGACACACCGCTCCGTTAAAATAAGCATAATTATCGTTTTGGGTGTGATGATCACTTTGGGAAACATTGCAGTTCTCCTGGTTATTACTTCATCCGTGGCTGGTTGGTCAAAGAACTCTAGGTACTTCCTGCTCTCTCTCACCGCTGCAGACTCTGCGTTTGGGCTGCTGGTCATGCCCTTGAATCTGTGGGTGAGTCTGCTAAAGGACTACACCGAAGGGCCAGACGCTTTTTGTCACGTCGTGGCCTTTTGCAATGCCACCGTCTACTCCACCTGCATGTACACGCTGGCCACGATAAGCCTGGAGAGATATATTGCAGTGTTTTACCCTCTGCAATATTCCTCTCTGATGACTAGAAAAAGGACCCTGCTCCTGATTGCCTTTGCCTGGTGCTTCCCTCCCTTCCTACTGTTGCCAATATCATTTCCAGTTGGGATTATCGAGGTTCATTTTTCTACCGCATCCCTGGTCTGCAATCCGTCCTACTCGACAAATGTTGGATACACCCTCAGTTTGACATGTCTGATATTTTTCCCCTGCTCCATCATCATGACACACGCAAACCTGAGAGTGTGGTGTGCTGCAAAGAGACAGAGACTGAAGCTAAGCAAATACACATGTGCGCGTCGCAGCAGACACAATGTGGCATCCCGAGTGCTCGTGCCTGTGATGGCAGCATACTACGCCTGTTGGACACCTTGCATGGCAGCTATGATCTACAACGGTAAGCATTGAATGAGTGGACATAAACATTAAAAAAAAATTTTTTAAAGTTATGAAAAGGCCTTCCATATAGCCTATAGATGACTCCCTTAATCTTCCCTAATTGTGTAGAAGACACCACGATTGGAAATGTGCTTCCAATGTATAGCATTCAATTAATTAAAGAGTATAACTTGGTGGAATATATCAATAATGGCTGTCCTGGTGCAACAATTCCCTGGCATCGTTTTTTTTAAAGTTCAAATGTTCCTGCAAATTCCATAGTGAGAACACCTTGTTTGGCTCCAGTCTGCAAATTAACCACAATTTGACTACCTTTCACACTCAAATAGAATGTTTTCTCTAAGAAAACAAAGACAAATGGTTTCGGATCATGGGTGAATGTAATATCTTAAAGAAAAACAGAGAATGTAGCTTATGCATCCTGTTAGTTTGTGCCATATCTGGACTAACTGTTGTAACAATATGACCGTTGCTGATTTGTATAACCACGTTCTTCAATTATGTAGTTTAGGAGTTTATATCTGAAGCTCCTGCTGTCTTCCTGCAATTCATCTTACAATTAGCTACTGAGCAGTGGCTACTTAGGCAGCTGAAATGTTATCATAATTGTAATAATATATATATATATTTTGTATTCTCTTTTTGAATAAGGGAGAAAGCCCTAAGTCAAAGTTCAAACAGTGATACTTTACCCTTTTTTATTATTTATTTACTTATTTCAGCTGTGACTATGCAAAGGTATTTAATATTAGAGTCTTTAGGTATTTCTGGGCATCACTATAACGATGCAAAGACAGTTTCATGACTACAGCCTTTTTTTTTTTTTTTTTTTTTTAAATTCTAATTTCCTCGACCTCGTGCTGTCTTGGAGTAATTAGGACTGAATGTCGTGTCACAGCTGAATATTTATAGAAGTGAAGACCTTTTCCAAAGAGGGCTGTAATTCATCTGATATGAATGAAAATCCCTGCAAAAGGAAGCTGACAGTATTAACTTCAACTTCAAAGTGTGCTGCTGTCCAAATGCTACGGAGCCTCACTGTAAAGTAGTTTCATTCACTTTTAAGCACATACAAGACAATGTGAAATCATGTTTATATCTCCTTGTAAATGTACCTATACAAATATAATCTCTTATCTGTTTAAGACAGACTTTTGACCATTATCTCATCACACTTGGATTGGGCTTCTGTAATAGCATTGATGCTTGAATGAACTACATTCTATTGATGATCTCCAAACTGTTTTAGTCTCCCAGTATGTTTTGGAATAGATTTAGCTGATTACTCTTAAGGCTCTTCATGGCCTCTCCTTGCTTTATCTCTGACCTTTTTAGTCACGTACGCAGTAGTAAGGTGTAATTCCCAGGTATAGAGGTATTCTGTCAAAGATTGGGTTTAAAACTGAAGGAGACAGTGTTTGCAGCCAGGGACCAGAGACCTTTAAACAATCTGCCTGTGGACATCAGTCTGTGAGGCTGAGTCAGTGATTCCCCTTTTTAAACATACGTCTATAGGAAATACTTTCCTGATTCAACTTGAGTTTTGATTACCTTTTGAACTATATTAATATTTAATGTAGACATTTTTATCTTTCCTACCTTTTTTCTACACTATGGATTTATGACATGTTTTATTTTGCTCTCTTTGTGTATAACTTTGTATGGTGGAATTTGAAAATTAGTAAAGATTATTATTATAATTATTAGTAGTGATAGTAGAAGTCTTAAATCCCCATGTGTTTTGCCCCACAGCGGTCTCAGGAAGCAGTGTACCAGAGTGGCTTGAGTTTGTGGTGGTGTGGCTGCCTACCTCCAATGGTTTCCTCAATTGCATCTTCTACTTCTGGATAAACCGAAGCTTCCGCAGGAAATTCCACCTTGTGCTCCAGAGGATGCTTCTGACCCTCTGCCCCAAACTGGCTGACACCCTTGGGTGCTGCAACCCTTCAAATACCGATTTTGTGTTGGGAATTACAGATAATAACAACAGTGTCCATGAGCGTTCCTCCAGCGTATCCTCCACCTGCACACTGTTGTCTTTGGCTTAGGATGTGGGCACCTGAAGAGCAACACTGGCATGGTAAGGGACGGGGTCAGTGACCTTTGTATTGTCTGTCTTTTGGATACTGAGATATGGGTCTGATAAGTTGCAGTGCAAATGGGATGGCGCTAAGACAGGCTATAATGGCAAGTAATTGAACTGTACAGTCTACATCATTGTAATTTGAGTTATATTAATTACATTCTACTTTTTATATATTTTTTTTATACATTTGCAGTCTTAAGATAGTGTCCAGTTGAGTGGGACACAGGCTCAGTATAGAACTTATTTGGATTTTTTTTGTTTTACTCATGCAAACAGTATTGCCAAGATTAGATTTTTTTTGTCTTAAACCAATTTTTTAGTTGTTTTATAGTTCGCCATATACCTTGTCTGTGCGTCAGAAATGCCCACCATTATTCGGCATACAGCTATATAATGAGCCTTATTTTAAAGTGTCAGCGGTTGCATATTTAGACTCGTTGCCTCTGTCAACATATTTCACTTCAAACATTTGAGGATATTCAATTATTTCATCACAAGAAACTGATATTTAGAGTCCTATTCATATAAAATATTTGTCAACTAACATCACTATCTGATTGCGAGCACTTTGAGGACGGAGGCCGTCTACCTTCTTTCCCTTCAAACAGTGCGTCTAAGACCTTTGCATATAACAGATGGGAGAAGTTAACCTTTAAGTCAAGGCATTTCAATGTATGCAAGGAGAAAAGTAATTTGCAGCCACACTGTAGAAAGGTCAACACATTTGTGCCGTCAAGAGATAATTTGGGTAGCTTCTGAAGCTGCGGTTGTTTATTTTGAGATATTAAGCCCATGATCCTCTCAGTATCTTCTAATCCAATATGAAATTGGTGATGCCCATGTCATGTTTATCTTAATAGGTTTAACTGCCAGAGTGAAGGTTTATTTACATTTAAAGTTAATCAAGAGTATTGTTTTCCCCAAAAATCTAAAGAAATTGAAATTCAGAAACATTTTATACAACCTTTTTAGCCCTTTGTGTTTCTGCTTGGTGTCACCATCGTTCATGTTAGTGCAGCTGCAAATGAGTGTCCTCTAATTTGTGTAAATTATGTGTATACTAAATTATGTAAAAACAATAACTGACTAAAATATTACCTGTGTATTTATACATGTTATGTTTCTAAAGTCCACATTTTATAATGATTGAAAAAAATAACATTTGATAATGTATTGGTTTATGGATAATCTGTGAAATAAAGCATCATGCCTTTGAATTGTGTCATCACTTTTTAATTGCATTGTAAGCATTGACTGAAAAATAATACATTGGAAATGGCATGTAATGCATAAATTGAATAAATAATATTTAGTATTACTTAAAATTACTTGTGTAATTAAAGAATAGACATCTGGGTCAGCACAAACAAAGTGTTCACCTCAATCAGTTTTACATCTTGTAAAGTGTATTCTGATGCAGCATTTGAATTTGATTGTGTGATTAGTGCAATGCCATGTTGGATAATAGATTGAGCCAGTGGTAATGAGTTAAACAGCATTATTGAAATTAATCAGAAAATGAGAATATAATGCTTTGGCTTCTGAATTTGTATTTAGTACTTGCATATTTATATAAAGCAGTTGTAACCACATGGTCTATGTACATTAGTTTAATTGTTTTTACATTCAAAGGCTTTTTTAATATTGATTTGGTGTGTTGTAGGGCTCCAGGATACTTGAGTAAACGTATTAATTTAAATGGCTCCTCGGGAAATAAAGGTGTTTTCTTTTTGTGAAAGTTTGGTGTTTTCAGTGAACCTTTTAGGCAGTTGTCAATTCCACAAACCCCTCTCCAGATTTCCTTTCCCGTCACAACATTTGACACAGTCATTGTGTTTCTGTAAGCAAGTGTATCTCGACTTTGGTATCACTGTGTGCCTGAAAACCAATAAGGATTTGGATTGTAACATCGTAAGTAAAAACAAATATGTGTTCAACAAAAAGGTAAGCTTTTGGAATGATTCAAACCTCTTTTCAGGCATCGGAGTTTTTCATGCAACATCTAGAAGTGTTAGTCCGGCAGCCGAGCAGGTCTCCCAGGACCCTGGAGTGTAGTGCATTAGCAGCCTCAGCTCTCCTTGAGGATGACTCTTTATAAAAATGACAAGCAATACAGTCATGGGGAATGATGTCTATCTGAAGGCTTCATGTATTCCCACAGATACAATAAGCTGTCTCACAAAAGTGCATCATTCTGTCTGGTCATAACTGCTGCAACAACATCAAGGCTGACGTGGATGTAAAATGGCTTTGAGTGAAAAACTAAGAAAGAAACCTGCAACAGAGATCAGAAAATGTCTAGAACATTTTATTAGGCTTGTAGGCTTGTAGCCTTGTATACTAAATTAAGAATACTTAAATAAATAAAGGCAGGAGTGTCCATATATTTGTCTCCAGACATGATTTTAAACCATCTCATTGCACGCAGTCTTGATCAGTGTCAGATTTTCACAGTAATAATGTGCACAAGTCATAGATGCCCGTTTAAAGAAGTTGTACTGCCACCTTGTGTTTTTACTAAGTATTGCATGGCAAAAAATGTCCATGTAATCATCATACATAATTTGTGATTGAATATTGTTGTGCTAAATTGAATGAAAGGCATTCATTTGACTTTTTTTTAGCTATTAGTCAAAGATTCTCCAGGTTGTTTTTGACTTGCTTGTGATGATGCACATTAAACTAACGAAAGTATGTTTTTTTTTACATTTAATATTAGAGTCTTATTTCAATTAAACTGAAACACTTCATTCTAATTCTTAACAATTCATCAGATTATGCAACAAGGGGGCATCAAGTTCTTGAAATGTCCTGGCCTGATTTAAATTAGGATGAATCAATGGGGGTTGATTTGTGCTGCTGCAGTTTGCTGACTGTGAGGGCTCTTGTGAGAGCTGCAGATGGGAAGGCTTTTATTTCAATCACTGCGTCCTGATCCTCTCCACAGGGAAAGCAGCTGAGAGGAGCAGGTTTTTCAGGACTCGAGTGTTATTCAAGTGTGCAGATATCACAGAAATGGAAAAATAGATCAGGGTAAACGTATGTATTGTATTATTATAATTACCAAATGATGAGGAACCTTAATGTCGTAAAGTAAGCTGTCCTACATTTGATCACAAATATTTACTGTTAATTATAATAAGCTATGTTACTATTATTATTATTATTATTATTATTATTATTATTATTATGTTGCCTATACCCCCAATACTATGTTACAATAGTTTTCAAATGAGCTTTTTGGTCAAAGTATAAATAATCACTAATCTACTATGGCCAAGAGCTGGTTTGAAAAGTATAGCCAGCTTTAGCATTTTTCATGTGTTTCACAACTCTTTTCAGATTAGCTGCCACATTTACTAACAAAGTGCTGACTGTGTGAGTGGACTTGTTTTATCTATGGGCGTGTTCCTTGTTCACATTTTGCACTCCCATTACGCACTATGTACATCATCTTTTTTTAAATATATATCCTGCTGCAATGAAAAATGTTGCACTCTCATTTGCACTATAGGCTACATCATCTTTTTTTTCCATCTTTTTTATATATATATCCTGCTTACTGAAGTAAACGTTTTTTTGTAAATCATTGAGTGCTCTTGCATTTTAATTTGTGAGTTGTATACCTCGGGACTGTGGGAAACAGTATTTCGATCTTTCTGTATGGACAAACATATTTTGAGATTGACAATAAAGTTGACTTTGACTTGTTCCCATGCTCATCCTGTCAATGCTCATTTGTCATTATTTAACATGTGTAATGTATTTGTCAGCAAATAAACCAGTTTTAAAACCTTTACTAAAGGTATATAGTTACATACAGACAGTATAGCGTGGACATTTTTGTTAGATCTGCAAAAGAAAAAAGAAAATGTACCAACGACACAAACCTGTATAATGTCAGGGGAGGGATTTTTAGATCAATTTTTCCTTGAATGGTGTAAGTAAGGGATAATGTGCAGCGAGGCGGTCATTATGGGTAAAAGAACACCCGACAGGCTGTTAAGGAGCCCGAAGCATACAGATAAATCGACCGGACTTCTTTCCGCAGATGTGAGCGTCCTTAACAAATATATTAACATGAATGTACTGTGCACAAACTGCACCACATATTCATATTTAGAGTGAATATCTTCAAATATGTACACAGTATTTCAGTGAGAGCAGCCACTTGTTTTGAAAGATTTTATTAAAAGAGGCCATTAAAGACAGGAAATATCATTTGAAAGATGGAAAATATTTGTCAACCAACTAGATTCTGCTGCACTTATTTGTTAGCTCATGTTAAAATGGCAGCAAGTTATGTCCAGAAATGTTTAACTTTTGTGAAATGACAGGTGGTAATCAGCTGCCTGTTTCGGTATGTTCAGTAAAAGGAGTGATTGTACAAATGCTATGCAAAGATTATATTTACCATTATATATTCTGTAGTGCTAAAACATGAACAGCAAACTTATATTTGTAAAGGTTAAGTAACTAAAATAGATATATTAAATATGTATGCACTGGCTTGCAACACACACCAGATTTAATTTAAAATCTTTTGCGATTAGTACCACTTTCCTAGAACATAGATTTAAGATGCATTACATTGAAATACATTTGTGAGAAAGCAGCAGTTAAATAACAAATGGCAGAGTGAGAAACAATAACATTTCAAAACGGAACAATGAAAAAACAGATTTCTTCTTTCAAGGCTATTCACTCATCATTCACTGTCAGCAGTAGAAGTGTAAAAAATAGGACATGTCAGAATACAATCTACCTTAAATAATTATTGATACAATATAACTCACCACTATATCCAAAAAAAGAACAGACAAAGATTTGAAACTACAATTGCATGATCAGAAATATGCATTTGCAACTTAGCAATAAATGCAATCAGAAGAGTGCCGAAATGAAATAAACTCCAGATTCCAATTAAAACAAAAGGTAGCTGTAACAATGTTCACTTTATTCAAAACTAATAAAATGCATCGCAAGTGATATTTCAGTGTAAAAAATATGGTCATGGTAAACTATTATCCTGATCTCATTACCATTTTGCATACTGACATCTCTTTTACTTTTTCTCTATCAGCAAAATCATGGGGTATGTATACAAGACTGTTAACATAACCGTTCTCTTTTCAGGCAAATGGGTATGAACATACAAAGCCACAAATTGTTTTGATGCATATAATAGCTTAAGTTAATGACAATGTTAAACATTAATGACAACAGGCATAGTGACAATGAAATACAAATATAATAAAAGGCAGACAATTCAATTAAGTCTGCACTCTTTGTAGATGGACAAGGAAAAACTGCTGGCCTCATTTTGTTGTTGCAGAGACTCACAATTGTGTGCGTTCAGTATGAGGAGGTTTTGGTCAAAAAATTTCAAGGCCTCCAGATGAAAATAATAATATGAAAAAACGATGCCAACACTCAAGAAGACTTGTGTTCAAACACGTAGAAGCGATACACAAGGCCAACGACAGTCGCGACGATAGCAGGTATCAACCATGTGGTCCAGGAGCTGATGGGATAAATGAAATATATATAAATATAAATAAAATCACATGTTTATGGCTTATTTGTAATTTCATCAGTGTTTATATTGAACATTTTAAAGACAATTACAAATAAATATATCAGAAATATGTGAAAATCAAACATTTAGCCATTTATCAGATGAAGCAGTATTTAGTTGTGGGTTTGTTTTTTGCGTATTAACAACGATTCGGCTGAGTAATGAGCACTTTCTACTTGCTTTTCTTCTTAATTTGTTAAATAGCCATTTCTGAGCTGTCAATAATACAAAATAGTATAATGCATTGATACACAACACATTTGAAGACATCAATTAGACTGGCACAATAATGACTCACCTGGACTCTCCTGATTTAGCGTCATTTTCCTCCTTTAGCAGATAAAAAGACACAAAAAAATATTATGACTTATTCACAATCAAAAAGTGATTTGTATAATGTTTGTAAATTCTGTTGCAGTTCAGATGAACCACGGGGCTTACATTTGGCTTCTGCTTTAATCTGTCATCCTGCAAAGAAGATAAATAAATTAGTATTACTGACATGTGTTGACTGACACAAATTACACTCATTAATATGGATTAAGACAGTATCTCAGGTAGTACATAGTTGATCAAAAGACAGGGGTGATTGCATAAATGACTAGTTTGAAACAGCGGTTACAAATGCTGCGAGTGATATATAAAAATTGAAACGTTGGGATATTTTAACACTAAAGACTGGGGGCAATTAAAAACTGCTTTCAATTTAAAACCAGTATCACAAGAATAAATGCAACCTTATCACAATTACATAGTGTGATTAACTTCTGAATATAATTATCCCATCATACAATGTTTTCATAATAATTAATGAAATAATAAGACATGGTAAATTCTATTTAAACATCCTTTAATAAACACTTTAACAAAAGAAACGTGTTTGAATGATCCATATTCTCTGTGGTCTAATCTCAGTTTCTGTCACTGTTTACTGTAGAGCAGGTTTTACTTTCTGTGAAGAACATTTTAATTCCGGGTTAGTACAAATACAGACGGAGATCCCTGCCTATAAGCCCTATCAATTAAAGTAATTGTGGACAAAATCCAGTCCCTTTTGTTGTTGTAGAAATGTAATATGAATTTAAGCTGATGACACTATGAGTCTTCAGCAGTCTGAAAAAATCCCTTTGTGTTAACCTATCCCCGAGACAAGACCAGTTTAACATGTTGCTCTTGGGGGGGGGGGTCCATTTTTGTTTTATCCCAAAGCAGACTTTGTTGCCTCAAATATTTCAAAATAAGGGATGGATGAAACACACATATCAAAACAGAAAAGCTGATACTTAGTGGGAAAATGTTTTTGTAGTTATATAGACAAATTCAAAATGCGGAACAATACACCTATTGCCACAATTTGATGTGTTTCTTTGGATACAAAACTCACGCTCACATGATCAATCTAATTGATGTTACAGAACAATTAACATTGGATTTAGCTCCCTCAATTTGCTTATAACCATGTTAATCTCAAATTATGCATGGAACCATTTTATGACTCCAAGCTACTTTTGTGTAACAATTTTTTTGGTTCTTACCTATCTCAAATAGATCTGTAGACATGTATTAATTCAAGCAATGTTAATGATTTGATGGCAGTTTTTATTTGACAAAGGGATATGCACTGAAGTTAATAATACTTCAGAAACAGAATGAGGTCTTTCAGAGAGAACAGGGGCTGGATCTTACCATGTGGAGCTCCCCAACGTAGTACTGCAAAAGAATCTCCCTGGCATCTGTGGAGTGACCCACATCCTCAAAGCTCTCTGTGGCATCTGATCCAGCCTGCTCTATCAAAACCTCCTCACCCCCCGGATGCTGAAATCATCAAATGGATTAAAGAGTTATTACAGTTCCTTATTTACACCATACTCAAAATATTATACAGTTAACAACGTTTTCAATTAATCCATATCAATAAATACATTCACAGAAATACTAGCTCAATAACTGGTATTGCTAATGACCCTGGTCACTTATCACAGTGTTGCTTAACGTTATCTTATCTTATCTTATAGTGGTATTAGGTAAGGTTAAGATGACCTGTGTGTCTCTGAAACAGTGACAATGAACAATGAATCTAATTATCCGACATTTTTACCATGACATAAACACTGTTGCTGCAAGTAATAATAACAATTGTAATTATTATTATTATTATAATAAACATATATATCGGTTCATCTCTACTACTAAGCAATAATACCTCTATAAAAATGATGGGCAACAGGTTAGCTAGTGTTGTGTGTTAGCCAACCCATTGACCTAACGTAAAATAGGCGAACAATGCAAGAAGTTATGAAAATTTGCCCAAGAGAAACTCTAGCCATATCGACTTGAGTTTGTGAAATCACACAAACAAAAACCCTCTACACTTTAAATGCCAGATAACGTTGTTTTAATTTAACAGTCTGCAAATATTTCACGTTAACTCATAACAGGGACAGTTTGGTAATTCCAGGAAGTGACGTCATTCTTAGCACAATTAGGCAACCAAAGGTTTAAAGCAAAAACTTAAAATATGACAGCAATGGTGATACAATCGTTTAAACCGGTTGGAAGAAAAATCTTTCTTACCTCTTCAAGGAAACCTGTAAGGTCATACACTTTATCGTGGATGATGAGCCATGTGTCAGTGCTCATGTTATGTAGCCTTATTTCTTCTAGTGTGTAGTATTTTACACCAGCTTCTACTGTTTGGCCGTTTCCCTCAGCGACAGTGTTATCAGCAGGTCCGCAGCCTAAAGTTTTGTCGTTCATTTCCTCGCCCATTTTAATGTAAACGTTGATGGAAATACTATACTAAACCGACAGAGCAGCAAGCTAACGCTAACTTGGGTTTACCGCTATGGGTGTAGGCTAGCTCTATCTAGCTACAAGCTAGTGGGTTACCCGTGCAAAAAAAGCTTCTGATGACACAGTAGAGGAAAGATGAAAAAACAAATCCACACATACGCTAACGTTACAAAATGTAAGGAACTAGAAAAAAAACCTAACCCGGCACGTCAGGTCAGCAGACCGGTGAAAGAGACCAATGAAATGCGTGTTATTTTACCGTGAAGCACAAACACCACAACTGGCCAATGAAACGGTGACTTTTAGATCGGTATCCAATCAGAATCGAGCATTTGATGATCATGAGACTAGGACATTTTCTAGTGTGATCAACTCTGCGCTGCCATTGCGCATACATGCGTGTCTCATTCGTTGTTTTATGCTTTTCTAACATTTTTATGTGGGATATAAAATAATAATAACATGTGGAATAATATTCTAGTTTCCTTTGCACACATTCACTGCGAACCAATACAGACGAGAATTGAATTCATTTGTCTTTATAATCAAACTAATTTCTAATTTGAAAATAAATTGTGATAAAATACAGATTACATACAGCAAGGAATGCAACAATCGTCTATCATAAATTAATATGTGTAAATATATACCACATTCTGGGTTACACTACTAAATTGAATATCCCCTGGATATCCAGTAGGTCTACATTTAAAAATGCTCTCTAAATGTTGCATGTTAAAATAAAAATGAATTTGTCACACAGTGCAAACACAAAATGGGAAACAGGTTACCAGTAAAATACAATGTCCTTAGTTGAAGACCTAGAGGGCTGGGCATGTGTTCTCATAGTTCCGAATTCTAATTGGACTGATGAATTTGAATTTTGATTAATGTATGGAACAAATACTGCGGTTAAGTGACATAGGTGACATGTATGGGAGAATAAGATGTGCTATGTGCCTCTTTCTTTGCAGATAAGGGGCCTGTGAAGCATATAAATCCTACTGATAAACACATACAATATTTGCCAATGCTTCAAACCAATAATTAACACTTAAAGTCTGGATTTCATCATAGGCACATTAATAATTTATCAAATGCATTAATTAAACTATAATCAAATAGTGTTGGGAGTCATTTGGAAAAAAATACAATATTTTTTAATAAGCAGCATAACTTTTGGTCATACAAACCGATCAGATAAAAATAAATGGTTCCTCTTGCAACAGCAGCAATAACACACAGTGGTATAAAGTTCAAACCCTGTCACCAACCTCAGCCCCACAGCATTCCTGTACACCTCTGCGCACCATGCCAAAGTCTGAATAGTTTGCCAGCTAATTCCTCATACAAGAGCAACACTCAGAAACAGATTTTTGGTGCCTTTGTTTTTGTCAAAAACATACAAACCAAACAGATTTTAAGGTGAAAGTCCATGCCACAAATTTTACATTTTAACTTGTAAAGATATCTCATGCATGTCCTTGGCACACAATTGTAGGTTGTATTTAATGATTTATTTGAATTGCAGATACATAGGAGCTGCTTTACTCTACCAACATTTCAGAATCAGAAACAGGTTTATTGGTAGGTGGACACGTATGAGGAATTTGACTTGATGTAATGGTGCATAAAGTAAAATAAAAATAAAAAACACAGATAGAGAACTATTTTAAGAAAACTATAATAACATTAGAAAATAATTCAAATAATAGAAATATAGTCAAATATAGCAGTATTTACATATAAATATAATGGAATACAATATGTGCAGTAATAAAAAAAAAAAACAGATATTATGTACATTTCTGGTGTTTAAGCCTTTTAAAATAAGATTGTATTTAATAATTTTCGACACAATTTCCAAAACAGCGATCAGAGATCACAGTGTTTTAATAAAATAGACTCTTAGAGTAATTAGTACTAACCCATTTTATCCCTGTGTCTCTGTTATGCTTATAACTATATATCTTTTTTCTCACTCCTTTAAGACTAGTATATTTTGGGACAATATTGAAACCCAAATTGTTAGGAAAGTAATACATTTGGGGACAATAATAATAAAATCAAATTTGCTAAGAAATGATTTGACTTTCTCATAGACTTATAAAAAAAGGAAGTAGTTATCATGTGTGGACACTCTTCCGTCCAGAAGGAGGCAGCGCTGAGCTGACTAAGCCCAGTCTGCCAACATATCCACAAAGAAGAAGAAGAAGAAGAAGAAGAAGAATTGTGGGATTGCAATGGCTGCTCCCTTATCTGTAAACATATGCGTTGTGTTTACGAAAACTGCAGTTTAAATATATACTAGTCACTGCTACAGGTCCATTGATTCCTGGAATACTTACCTACCCATTATTTGACTTCATATCTTAACCTGGATGTGAATTTTTCTGCATTTTAGACCCTCAAAAACAAGCGGCATTGTCCCGCAGTTTGCCGCCCGGCCTTCCTAGGATAGAAGCGGATAGCTTGCAAGCTAGCTGCTCTATCTGAGGTAAGCAACACATTTAACTTATCTGGTACTGAACAAGGAACATATACTGCAATGAATGGAGAAATGCACAATAGCTGTCGGATTTATAGCACTTGTCATCGTTTGAAGCATATCAACATTCACTCCTTTGTTTATAACTTGTAATACATTTCCTAATTGTTAAACAACATCACAGCTGACGCAAAACAAATACAAAACTAGCTACTATCTGTGACTTTAGAGTAAGGTTAATGTCACAAATGTGGCTAAAGCTACTGATGGCCAAACATATGTTAATGCTGAGATAATGAGTTAGGACTCTATAATATCTTTTTTCTTGGGTTGTTTTTCAGTTAAATTAATAGATTCTTAGATTTTTGCCGTTCAGCTGAAAGTGACATTTGGGAACCAAATACATGTTGTTCTGTAAGATAGAAGCACGTTATTGTACAACCAGGTTCAATAAAGGGCTGTATTGATTATTAGACTGAAATAATATTAATTCACTATACATTTGATGCCAATGTATTTTCAAGCTTGATACCAAGGTAGCTTCAAGCGATGTATTAAGAAGTAATAGCAAACATTTTCTTGTTTAAGCTTTTCCACTTTAGGGATTTTCTACTATTCTCTGTTTTATATCACAGTCTATTAGATCTTAAACACTTAAACGCCTAAACAGAGTTGACATTAGCAACCCTTTATTATCTTTACACATTCTCCACTGTTGTCCTTATTTCCCCACAGATAATGGATGACGATGTGTCCATGCACAGGCTGGAAGGGTCTGATCCCGATGATCAAGTTGGAGGACTGATCGTAAAGAAAAAGAGTGCTGCTGAAGAGGCCCATGTTTTTCGGGCTCCCACTCCACGCACGTCCCTGCTGGGCTTGGATCTGCTAGCAGCTCAGAAAAGGAAGGAGCGAGAGAGTAAAGAACAAGCAGACGCTATTGCAGATGAACGAAATAGCAAGAAGTCAAAGGTTACCTCCTACAAGGACTGGGAGGAAGGTAAAAGTGACTCTGGGTCTGATGAAGAAGAAGAAGAAGATGATAAGGACAGTGGTGTTAAAAACAAAGAGAGGTAAGTGATGGTGCTTCACACAACAACATTTTGTTGATCATCATGTCGAATGTATAAATAGAAAAGCAACATATATCCCCCAAGTCTATGGAGATGATCATTATTTAGTATACATTTCTTTAAGTTGAATGTTATTATTAAGATATCTATACTCTTGGATCTCGCTGTTTGAGAATTTTTCAATCACTTTTTCAGTTTAAGCCTTTGAGTCCTTCCAGAGAAAAACACCTCTAAAGCAGTGAAAATACTGAACCAAGTGTACTGCCATGTGGTAAATACTCGTGTGTGCTGCTCTTGCTCTTTTTGCATATCATATATTTATTTTTGCTATGTTTACAAATGTCATGTTCTTATATGTTGTATGTCAGGGACTACGGATGGAAATGAGCTCAAAGCTAAAATCCGGCATATTTACACTTGAAGCATTATTTGCCTAAAGTGTTCATTAATGTGCTTTTTCCCTATTCAAATAAACAATGAAATGAACCAGGACTCTCACCTTGCCTCTGAACTTTGAACATTAACACCCCTTTCTTTAATATGTAATCCTTGTATTTGGATGTGTGCTGACCTTAGTTCCCTTTATACTTGTAGGCTATTTTACAAATTGTAGTAGCACACAAATATGATTATTAATAACGTGTATTATTTTTTTGGGGTCTTGCAGCAGGAAGTATCGTGTTACTGGCTCGGAGACGCCCTCAAATCCCGGAGGGGTCAGCGAGGAGTTCAAACGCAGACACCAGCAGCGAGAGAAAGACAGACGTGAGCACGGGGTCTACACCACCTCCAACGAGGACAAGAACAGAGAAAGGGAAAAAGAGAGGAGCAGAGATAAGGGGAGAGACCGAAGGAGTGAAAGAGGTGATTCTAAAGATCAGTCATTTTGTTTGTATTTCAATGCAAGTTCACTTTTTGTTGTATTCCAGCTTCAATTATTTTGTAAAAATGATACATTTATTGTTAAAAGCCCTTAAAATGTGGAGATTTGATACATTGTGCTTTGTCGTATTATTGTAAAACTATCTTCTTTTCATTTTCTTAACTTCAGTGAGAACAGTAGCACTACATTTTGGACTTTGGATGTATTCCCTTTTTATAAAGAGGATCAAGTATTAAAATACATCATTTGTAGAAGAGTCAGCCTTTCTCAAAGTCATTCTTTGTTCTGTGTCAGGGGAGCGAGAGGGCAGCCGCGGCAGCAGCAGCAGCGGCCGGTCGGAGCGCGGTGATCGGAGCGAGCGCTCACAGAGGGAGGGCTGGTCTGATCGCATCAGCCGGGGGAGTAAGAGAGAAGAGCCGTCATCGCCACAGAACCGCCCCAGAGGTAATCAAGCTTTATTTAAAAAAACACATTTAAAACTGTCCTTGTTAAAAGGTTTCACGGTCTAAACTCATTTTGTTTTCACATAGATTCCTTCACACCCTCACGATCGAACTGGGAGGAGGATGATAGCGGTTATTCCAGTTCACGGCATTCCCAGTGGGAGTCTCCGTCCCCCGCCCCGTCTAACAGAGAGATGGACCGCTCGGAGAGAAGCCATCGCTCCGTCCGAGAGAGTGAGAGGAGAGACAGGTGAACTGCTGTCCTTCGTCTCCTGTACCATGTAAGGCAGGGGTCGGCAACAGGCGGACCCGGTCCGGACCCGGACCCCGACCTATACGGACCCGGACCTATAATCAATACATTAATAGGCGATTTCAATTTAACGGGGCTATTCTATTTTAACCGCCACCGACAGGGGGCGAAAGAGAAGAGTGAGCGATACAGGGAGAGAAACACAGAAGAAGAGACGAGAGAGCGGCAGAGAGAAGCGGAGAGGAAAGTGAGTGAAGAGAATAATTAGCGATTCAGGGAGAGAAGCGGAGGGGAGAGTGAGCGGCAGAGAGAAGCGGAGAGGAAAGTGACAGGGAGAGACAAATAATTACACATGGCGCTCTCCAAGAAGAGGAAAGTGGACAGTGAGAACAGAGCTTTTAACCCTGAGTGGACGGACTCATTCATGTTCATCCTGCCCACTGGTAGCACAGAACCAGTGTGTCTCATTCAGAGACCGTGGTGCTCATTAAAAGTGCCAAAACGCCACTATGGGACAAAACGCAAAGTGTTTGACCAAACATTCCCTCTCAAGTCAGAACTGAGGTCACAAAAATAGCAGTCTCAGAGCCCAATATTATCAGTCCACCAGGATCAACATTAAAACTAAATATCGTTCCAGGGCAGGCTAACCGAGGCTAACCAATGAGCACCTGCATGTGTATGAGAATGGCCCTGAAACCATTTCAGCCCAGATTTAAAGGCCCAGTGAAGTGCATTTTTTTGCTCCAAAATGAAATGGCAGTTTCATTCCTTACATATCATTGTGCCTGTTATTGGCTAAAATAATTTTTAATAATTCATAATTAATGAATTAATGAATTATTAATTTTGCCGTCTGAGCCTAACGGAAGTTGCAGACGATAGTGGCTGTGACGTCACAAGATGTACCCAGTTGTGATTGTAAACATGGTGGAGACTTTGGAAAGTGATACTAGTGTGAGAGAAATGATTGATTTGGACAGCTTTTCGGACAGGATANACTTGAGGTCAAAAAGTAGAAGTACTCAGCATCTTCGTTACATTGACATGACATTAGAAGTACTCCAGATCTTGTACCTTGAGTAAAAGTAGAAGTGGCTCAGATCTTGTACTGAATGAAAGCTAGAACAGTACTCAGATCTTGCTACTTAGAGTAAAGGTAGAAGTACTCAGGTCTGTACTTGAGTAAAGTAGAAGTACTCAGCATCTTGTACTTGCATGTGAAAGGTAGAGGTACTCAGATCTGGTACTTTGAGTAAGGTATAGCGTATCAGATCTGTGTTACTTGAGTAAAAGCTTTAGATAGTACTCAGATGCTTGTACGTTGAGTTAAAAGTAAAGTACTCAGATCTGTGTTACTTAGTATAAGGCCTGAGTGATTACTCAGATCTTGCTATTGAGTAAAAGTAGAAGTTTTACCAAGAGTGTAGGGAATACTCATGCTCACAGCTAAAAGGTAGAAGTACCTCAGATTTACTTGCTACTTGGAGTAATAAGTAGAGTATCTCAGGAATCTTTGTACTTGTAAAAAGTAGATAGTACTCAGATCTTGTACTTTGTAGTTAAATAGTGAATGTACCAGTTCGTAGTGTGAGCGCGAATACTCTCGCTCACAGTAAAAAGTCCTCCTGCATTCAAAAACTGTTCCTTCAAGTGAAGCTAGAAAAGTATTATCATCAAAATATAGATGAAAAAGTAGCGGACGAGTAAAAGTAGTCATTTGTGCAGAGTTGCGTCCATTTCAAGAGAGTAATAAGAGTGATATGATATGTTTTATAATGATTGATCATTAAAGTGTTCTCAAAGCTGGTAAAGGTGCAGCTAGTTTGAATGACTTTGTATACTGCAGGGTAGCTTGTGGATTTACTCCAGGTGGAACTAAAGTCTGATTTAACACTTGATTATATTTCACATCATTCATCCACATCTGTGAAGTAACTAAAGGTATTAAATACATGTAGTGGAGTAAAAGTACACCATTTACCTCTGACTTATGTTTACTGCCAACCTAAAAGTACCTCAAAAATAGTAATCAATAATGTATTGAAAAGTTATTTGGCTGATTGTTGTATATTGGCTCAGACAGGTTATATGGGAGGCCCAGTCTACGTACAGATCACTAATTTTGAAATATTAAACTTAGTTTTCTTTTCTTTAATTTTTCATCCTCGTGTAGAAGGCTATCACGAAACACACATTTGCTTGTTTATAGCATAAAGAACATCTGATTTAATGTGAGGTAGGGAAATAATCATTTGAGTATGTGTATATAAATATGTAATTTACAACAGCTGTAAGATGCTTGAAAAGCTGGAAAATGCTTGAAAAGTGCTTGAATTTGACTTTGGAAAAGGTGTAAGAACCCTGAATGATACAGTCTGGTTATTATGTTATTCCAACACTGGCTTTATCTTATTGTGTTTTACTTTTAAGATTTGCCCTGGGTCCTAAGTGANATGTGTATATAAATATGTAATTTACAACAGCTGTAAAGTGCTTGAAAAGCTGGAAAATGCACCTTGAAAGTGCTTGAAAAGTGCTTGAATTTGACTTTGGAAAAGTTGTAAGAACCTGTGTGCCGCCGATTAAACTCTGTGTGTGGTGTGCATGAAATTGTTGTAAAATCATGCTGCACATGCTTGTTGTTTGACTGGAAGTGCACACGATATATGAGACTGATCATTTTGCCTGACTTTGCTTGAAGGGTTTGTTTTTAACTACGTGTTTGTTTCTCTGCTGCAGCCAGAGCCTGTCATCCCTGTGAAAGATCCAACATCTGACATGGCCATCATCGCTCGTAAAGGCAGCCAGCTCGTTCGGAAACATCGTGAGCAGAAAGAACGCAAAAAGGTTGGTTGGATTATTAATGAACGCATGTTGTTTTTGTGGATATTTATACATTTATTGCTAAACCCGTAAGGATTTTAGATGAAAATACTATTGTCATATCATCTGAAGAAATGTGACGCTCTAAACACAATGCAGATATAATCTTGATACTCTGCTGTTGAGAAATGTCAATGAGGTTTGTGGGTCTTCACCTGTCTGGTTGATAAATGCCAACGCTGTCTTAACTTCATGACTTTGGTAATTCATTTATTCGTGATCACCATACCGGGTCGCTTGATGACATTTTAACGGCGAACCAAGATCAGTGAGGTGAAACAACTTGACAAATTAAACACCGAGGGCTCTGTATTGTAAAAGGTTTCTGACTGGAGCTATAATCTTCATACTTAAACTGTAATTATTTGGATTTTAGGCACAGCACAAACATTGGGAATTGGCAGGCACCAAGTTGGGGGACATCATGGGAGTCAAGAAGACAGAGGACGCAGACCGCTCCGGGGGCAAAGCGGTGGGCGAGGACGGAAAAGTAGACTACAGGTGATGAACTGTCCATGCAAAGTTTGGATCTAAATTACATTTTTAACATTTTCTGCTTAAAAATCCACTGCCTTAAATGAACAAAAATGTCTCGCCATAGTAATCATTTTGGTTTATGTTTCTCTGCCGTACAGAGCAGAGCAGAAATTTGCAGACCACATGAGAGACAAGAGCGAGGCCAGCAGTGACTTTGCTAAGAAGAAGACCCTTCTGCAACAGAGACAGTATCTTCCCATCTTCGCGGTCCGACAGCAGCTTCTTAACATCATAAGGTATTGATAGGAGTTGTATTCCTGTTGTTCTGTCTTTACTCTTAAAAAAGTGTCCTACATTAAAACTGCAGAGTAATTATATAACTAACTAATGACGTTATGGTTTCTACAGGGACAACAGCATTGTGATTGTTGTTGGGGAGACGGGCAGCGGGAAGACCACCCAGCTGACCCAGTACCTGCATGAGGACGGGTACACCAGCTACGGCATGGTGGGTTGTACTCAGCCCAGAAGGGTGGCAGCCATGAGTGTGGCCAAGAGAGTCAGCGAGGAGATAGGAACCAACCTGGGAGAGGAGGTGAGACAGCTGTTTGATGCTTAAGCAAACCATGCGTGCCTTGGTAATACTTAGCCGTATTACCTTACTGTAGAGCACTTGTGAGCATCTCATTTGTATTGATTTGATCAGAAAGAAAAGGCTATTAGAAGTACACTGTCTAATAGTCATAACCCTTTCCTTGATCATTTGTCCAAACTTGCTACTTTCGATGTGGTGTAACGTAAAACAAATATTTTTCCATGTGATATTTTTGTATCTGTTATTTCCTTGATGAGATTTGGCAACATTTTGTAACTAGCTTGGTACATTTTAAATACATTTCTTAGTGGATCCCAATGATGTTGTGTATAGTACATTCTCAGGGCCTACCTGCACAAACTCAATAGCAAGTCCCGCGCTGTAACACCACCATCTAGTGGTCAAAAGGAAAATATCATGTCTGTTTCTACTTCATGGTTAGAGCCGAGGAGCAACAAAGGGAAACATTGGAGATGCTTAAAAATGTTGGTGCAAAAATGTATTTTAGGTAGTTTCTTTAATTTAATGTTGCATGATTTTTTAGATCATTCATTTTATTTTTTGTTTATTAATCTGACATGTTTGCCTACAGGTGGGCTACGCAATCCGTTTTGAGGACTGCACATCAGAGAAAACATTAATAAAGTACATGACGGACGGTATCCTGCTCAGGGAGTCACTGAGGGAGTCGGACCTGGACCACTACAGTGCCGTGATCATGGACGAGGCTCACGAGCGCTCCCTGAACACTGACGTGCTGTTCGGCCTGCTGCGTGATGTCAGTACACAACTATTTTACATGTTTTAAACACATCTTTTTTATTTTGTTATTTTCTAGACATACATGCAGCTTCATCTGCTGTGTGACTAAATGATGCGTAACCGAGTGAGGTTGTTGTTCCCTTTTTTATATTTACGTGTACACACACTGATTTCACTCAACTCTCTTTTCTGTCCGTCTCCCATCAGGTTGTATCTCGGCGGACTGATTTGAAACTCATAGTCACCTCCGCTACCATGGACTCAGACAAGTTCGCTGCTTTTTTTGGCAACGTACCCATTTTCCACATTCCAGGAAGAACATTTCCCGTGGACATCTTATTTAGCAAGGTATGTGTCAACTCTACTATCACTCGAAGGGAACTCACTATACATCCTCAATACATTATAATATTTCTACTAGCATTTTTTGGGCAGCTTTATTATGCCAGACTTCAGGAATTAGCAATCATTTGAATTATCTCTGAAGCCTTTAAAGGACATTTATTCTCAAAACACTATTATCTAAAATTGTAGTTAAATCTTTGACTTTACAGAATGTGTTTAGCCTTGGGTAAAGCCTATCTGACATAATCCAAAAAATAATAATCACATGACAGTAAGTAGGATACCCTCTTGACAATAAGTACGTTTTGTTATTTTACATGAACTAACTTTTGGCATTTAACAATAAACATCTCTACTGTTATGCTTTGTAGGGTCATTAACGTGTTTTTGTTGTTGTTGTTGTTGTTGTTGTTGTTGTTGTTGTACTTGACTGATTTGTGTGCTCTGTGCTGCGTAGACTCCTCAGGAGGACTACGTGGAGGCAGCAGTAAAGCAGGGGCTGCAGATCCACCTCAGCGGGCTGATAGGAGACATCCTCATCTTCATGCCCGGGCAGGAGGATATCGAGGTGAGAGACTACTTCAATCACTCAGATATCTCAAATGGTTGGGGCATATTAATGTTTGGCATTAAATACTGTGGTACAGGTATGAAATATGCTGCAAAGTACAGAATGTAAGCTGTTAAAAACCTGGAAAAGTCATGGAAATTCAAAATGCAAATTCCAGGCCCTGGGACCCGAAGTAATCTGCGGCCGCGAGCTGTTATGTGACATCATGACGCACATGGTGTTATGTTTTAATATATTAGAATGAAGCGCTAGCTGTGTGCTCGAGTCTTCCTGTCTGTCGGCTCTGCTGCTCCGGGATGAGGGTCTAACTTCAGCAGCTACATTACCTACGGTGCGTTCGTTAGCAGTAACTGTGCGGAGTCACTGTGGCACAGACTGGACCGCTGGTGAACAGCTGTTAGAACGGGCCGTTCAGGTGTTCAGAGCAGAGCTCCCTGTCGGAGCGGCAGCCAAGGCACAC